TGGCTCAAGGAAAAAGAGAACAGGGCTTGCTGTTAGATGCCCTGGTTGTTTAGGGGTTCGGCCAGGTTTAAGTACCTTCCTTCCCCTTTGATTTTGTCTTGCAGAATTGCGGCTAAGTTTTGGGCTCTCGCTGATAAGGTGTTGAAGCCAACAGAGCTGATGCTTGCTTCTTTTGTGTCCGCACTAGTTCTGCGGAGTTTTGAATTCGTGCGAACGGCTGGGATCAACCCCTGTCTCTTTCCTGAAAGGGAGGAGATGGTGTCCGACGACGGTTCCATCTGATGAGAACGGATCTCAGATGATTTCAGTCCCAGGTCGCACTCTTACACCGGGAAAAGGAAAAGCCTCAGAACTTGGAGCTTCTTGAGGCAGAGCCGATGTGACACGTCCCTCCTCGCACCCCTCGGCTCTGCGCAGGAAGCTCGACCTGGCAAAGGCACGCAGCCGAGAGCGACTGCAGCAGGCGGCATTCTTAGAGACAGGGCCACTGCCGCGAGGGCATCGGGTTTGCAGCTTTGGGGTTTAGTCCAGGCAGCACCGGCATGCAGCGAAGGTTGAGCGCCAGAGAGACCAACTGGCTACTGATCACATGGCGCTTCAGCGCCGGGAGCTTGGACTTGCGGCCGGGCCGGTAAATTCACCATTGCCGTTGCTGCGGCTGGTGATGATAGTGATGGTGTGCCTCAGGAGAAGCACGTTAAGCGAATAGTTTTCACGGACACGGTGCAACGAGGCGAGTGCGAGTCCCTCCGAGCTCTGTTCATTCGTCAACAACAGCAGCAGCTGGCCTTCTGGACTGGACCATTCATGGTTCCACCCTCAGCTGCTGTGGGTGACCGGTAGCATCAAACAGGAGAAGGCTGATACAGGCTTGGGTTCTTTTACATAGCCGCCGACAGCTTCGAGGAAGTGTTACGTCGTGATGGACCTTCTCCCAGAACGGAGGCCCGGTTGGAAGGTCCTCATGTCTTGAAGTGCCAACATGCGGCTGCTGTGAGGTTGAAGATCCAGGAAGTCAGGCTGGTGAGTCTGCTTGACAAAGCTGAACCTGTCAAGTCTCTGTCTGCCTCGGCCTTCAGCAACTTCTTGCCTCAAACCTGCAACCAGCTGCTGGCAGAACTTGTGCAGTCCACATCGGCTCCTGAGAGTCGTAATCTCTGGTTTCTTTCCGCTGTTTCTTGAGCAGCAAAGTTTCGTGCATTATCATCACCCAGGCATTCGGTGGACGCATCTGGGTAGCAAGGGCACTGTGGAACTCCAGCACGCGTGTGCTACGGTTGGATTTTCATGCAAGATACTTCGTTGGCGGGTTCTGAAACAGGCAACGGACATCCCTCCGTCACCGATCAGGCCGTGGGATAGCACTGTAGGTGTTTTCACGGCTTCGGGCTGAAGGAGCTTGTTGTTTGCTTGCAGCATGGCTGGTGCCATAAGTTGTTCGAATCTTGCAGCTTCGCCGCATATGTCCTCAATTCACACACAATTTGAACAGCTCTGGCCCCACAGAACCGACAACCTATGAAATCCAATGTCGCTGCGGGCTTTACTGCTTGAGCTACTTGTGCTACACAACCATTCGCCCAGGTTTGTTGAGCACCCTGACAACCCTGTCCAGGTATGCCTTGCAGGGCCTGCAGGGAGCACCACCGTGCCTTGCCAGAAAGTGTGAGGTTTGTCGTGGAGATATATTTCACCCAATGTCCAGCTCTCTGTATATGCACATACAGTCACATACACGTATAAAGACGTAAGCAACCAAACAGATAGGTTTGCATACGCATGCATGCGCACATGCGTATTATGCACACATGCATACACGGATACATGCACACTTGCGTAGATGCATACATGCGTGCATACATGCATGCATCATGCATACATACACACACACACACACAATTTTGTATGCTTACGTTTGTCTGCCAGGCCCTATATCGGCCGGTAGTGTCACAGCTAGTGCGAGAGTCGGCTCGGGTATGGTTGCCCGGCTGGGGTAGAGCTTGCCAGCAAGCGGGTTGGAGGGGGAGGGCGAGGGTGGTACAGGCTGTGGGACAAACGCCCAAACTCCGGGGCCACCCGCCACTCAGTCGACCGGATGATGTCTCGAAGAGCACCCCAACGACATTCGATAGAAGTGCTGCTGAAAATCAGAGCCTTGGACACTTCGAAGGACGGGACTCGGACTATGGCCCGAGCCGTGCACTGCGACAATAGCAGACTGTAGACAGTAAGCTCGAGATTCGATTTGAACGCCACACATGTCGTGGGAGAGGACTCAGCATCTTCCTTACATGACTTGAGTGCGAGCGAGATCTTGTTTCGGATCGTGACATGCTCGCCGTGACCATCCAGCACTCTACCACCATCTTTTGCCGTCAAGCACGAACCCGAAGAACACTGTTTGGGGAACTAAAGGTACCTGACAGAACAGTAAACACACCAGCTGAGCAGCTTGTCAATTCGAGAACTCGCCAGCTGGCTAGCCAACTAGCTATAGCTGCTCGCGATACAGTTGCTTGGCCATGTGCGAACATATTATCCCTGCTGGCTCTACACATGCGCAGAGACTTCTATACCTTCACATCCCAAAACATATACGTGAGCTTCTATGCCAGCAGATCTACGGGAAGATGTCAACATCAACGTGCCTGGGTTTTTGCGAAGTGTTTCGTGCTTGTGTACATACATGCATATTCAAATGTACATGCGTGCATGCAGAAAGCGCGTGCATATCTGCAGAGACGCAGACATACGCATGCACAGGCAGGCATGCACACACCCATACACAAATTGACCCACGCACACACACAGAGACATAGAACCATACTTCCATGTTGTTTGGGGCCGAAGGTATTGATAAGATGATTGCATACATGCAGACAAACAGCTTGCGGCAGTGCGCTCGAAACACTTAAGCTCAGCTGGTGAAAGCCGAAGCTCCATCGTCCCAGCAAGCGAAGTGGTCAGGTCCTCAAATCCACGGGCCGGTGTTCAATGTCCCTCGAGCTTGCAGTCACAGCTTGAGTATTGGCGTCTGTCGGCTGCAAGAAGACAGCTGCATCTACGTTGAGACGCCGCTCGCTTGTTGGATCTAGTCGTCGCTGCAGCTGGTGCTGTTTCGTTGACTTGTGACGGGACTGTCTGCCAGGCGAGATGGCGCTAGATCTCCAAAGGCCAGACCGTTGCATATGACAGACTAGATCAGTCGGAACTATCGCGGCGCTGTTGTGTTGACTCTGCACCTGGAGAGAGTGCCGGCTGTGGCTCTCGGCAGGAAGCTGCAGAAGCCTTCGTGCACAGCTAGCTCCAAGGCGGATGGTTACCCTGCAAAAACCGACCATCTTCTTTGCTACTTGTGTCAGCTGTGAGTGTTGAAAGTTCGGAAGAGGACAGAGGCAAGGCTAGATTGGGGCGGGGAGCAGAGCATGTCGAGGCGACACCGGAGACGGCCTTGAGTCTGGCATCACGAAGGCACATTATCCGGGGCATGGAAGCGTCCAGTCTGTAGCCGACGGAAAGACTTGACCACTTGACCTTGGCGTGCGCAGTGGCAGCATTTTTGAGTCGAGCCGAGGCATGCATTTTGCTTGCACAAGGCTTGTGTAGTTCCCGTGGCCCAAGCAGAGCATGTCGCACACTGAGAAATTGTGCGTGGTCCAGATGTCGGGGGAAACCCTTGAGATCGATATGGCATCTTTGCCGGGTGGCTGGAGAGCGCAAGACCTCAAAAGGCTCCTTTCAAGGAAGCTCTCCTGCCCAACCTTCAGGCTGACGTTGCTGGATGGCCACACTGCCATCAACAGCCGAGATGGTTGGCATGACATGGGAAAGCCTCTGCACCTATCGGTGGTTCAAGCGGCCCCTGTTGCGACGGTGCACGACTTTTGCGGGGACCTCTTGGAGGCTGTGTCCGGTGGCGATGTCTTGGCCGTTGAAGAGATATTGGCCAAGGGCCAATGTCCAGACACACTCGCTTTCGGTGGGGAGACGGTGCTCTTTGCTGCTGCGAGGAGCGGGTACCTCGATGTAGTACAGGCACTCCTTGACGCCGGTGCCAGCCTTCACCGTCGCATTGGAGGGTGGTTTACACCTTTGTACATAGCCTCTTGGCAGGGCCACTTGGATGTCGTGCGTCTGTTTGTCGAACATGGTGCCGACCCTGGTGAGGGCTTGTGCGCGGCGGCCTTCAGAGGACACGTCGCGGTGGTCCAATTCCTGCTCGACTCCGGTGCCGACGTCAACTTGGAGGATGAGCATGGCCAGGTTCCCTTAAAGATTGCGTGTGCAGCAGGCCACCTGGAGATCGCCCGTTTGCTCATGCTTTTCCAGCTCAGGCACGGCATGGAGATGCAAACAGATGGGCTGTTGCATGCCGCTGTCAGGGGCAGTCACCTTGAAGTGGCCCATTTCTTGCTGCAACTTGGAGCTGACATGTACGGAGTCGATGATGCTGGCGACACCCCGTTGGAAGTCGCCGCAGGTGCCGGAGATCTTGCAATGGTAGAACTCTTGGAGAGTGCTGGCATAGATACCAGTCCCTCCAGGGGATGCCACGACAGCACTGTGCCATGCCGTAATCCTGTTTTCCAAGAGAGGCATGTGTGGATGACTCCACTCCGAACATGAGGGCTTCGCATGGCCAAGCCATGCTTTTGTTTCCGAGGGGCTTTCGTTTCTGAGGGATCTGCCCTTTCTCTGAGGGGTGTTTGTCTTCAAACCCGAGGATTCTGATGCTTTAATCTTCCGTGTTCCCGAATTCAGTTCTTGCGGTGAGGAGCAGGAGAAAAATCCTTTGACTGCAGCTTAGGAAGTGCAATTCAGCATGCAGGCGAAAAAGAGATCTTTTGCAAATGCATGTGCTGCCGGAATTACTCTGCCAGGCTAAGTGTCGGAGATACATCTCTCAGCTATGCAAGAGCATCTGCTTTCTGAAGGTCTGAGAGCAGCAGTGAAGGAGATGTCGCACCAGGCGGTCGCATTTAGGTCTTCATGAAATGGTGCACCTCTGTCGATCGGACGGCTTAGATCCATTGCGTTTCGTGCCAGCATCGTCGTTCAATTGTGTGATGCTGTGTGGTCATTTGCTTGGACATCTGCTGTTGCTGCACTGTCTGCCTTGTTGGCAACACTTCACTCGAGGCCACCTTGCAGAAGACTCCGAGACCACGGTTGCGGATGGACGAGAGTCAGTCGCCGGCCGGTGAACGAAGATAAGCATGTCCCAAGCCACGGCAAGTGCCTCTGAAAATTCTGCACTGGTGCCTGCTCTTCACTCGCACGCTGCATGAGCTGAGTAGTTCTTTAGCACATCAGTGGGGCGCTGCTTGGACGGAGTTCAGTCAGTGGTTGAAGCATGATAGAGCCTTTGCTCTCCGCCCTACAGCATGCCCTTCTGTGTGAAAGCAATTCGAAATGTCCTTAGAATGGGCTTGTACAGTAGGAGAGCCATGGGCCCGTGACGGCTCAGCTTTGCCTTGTACAATCCAAGAGGGCCCTCCGCAATTCGCATGCATGACCACCCTGACTCGGTTTCTATGCACGCGCCCGTGTTTTCAACCAGGTTCCTGCGTTGTGCCTGTGCTACACGGAGCAAGCAGAGTTTTCTGGAAACCTTGTGGCCTCAGAGTTGAGCCTACTTGAAGAGCAGCCGAGGCACGCCTTAAGTTGTTACAAGGCTATTCAGCTCGTGACTTGGGAGACCTCCAACACAGTCTACGATAGTTTCAGCTCTGATCTGGAGAGGGCACCCTACCGTCCCGAGCTGTCTCAGTCAACGGTTGTAGGTTCCGTAAGGTCCGAACTGAAAGTACCCTCCAGACAAGCACTGACAAGCAGTACCTCTCGACCAGTGGTATGCTAGTCGCAGGACTCGAAACAGGATCACTCGAGGACCTTAATATACTATACCACAGACACGGACGAAAGCTCCCAGCAAGCTTTGTGATGGCCACTTTGCGATCGGAGGCTCACGCCAAGTCTGCCGACATGTCTCGTGTTGATTGTAGTCGGCTTGCAGCGAGGCTGGCAATGAGATTGGGCATCGCTGTGGAGCGAGCCAGCCCCGCAGAAATTGCTTCGGCGTGCGGACTCTGTTCTTCTTGGGCTGCGCGTGGCTTTGGTCTGATGGGTCGTCTACTCGCTTAAGCTCGCATCTATGGAGGTGGCAGCTGCAGATTTGACACCGGACAGCTTCGTGGGCACCTAAGCTCCGTTCGTTTGTGTACTCGACCTTTTGACCGAGATCCTTGCGGTGAAGATTTCGAGTGATCGTGTCCTGGTTTCCAGCGCGAGCCTGATTGAACTGTCCTTGAATCTCCTTAACGTTGCGGTTCCTGGTCGTTTTGTATCTTTTTGTATACGGACGGTTTGCTGGCTGTCGATTGTTTTATCGCATTTTTCATGCTGTACAGGACGTCAGTTCAATTCACTGCATACTGTGTACTTCGAGTGTCCGGAAATTCTCGATCAAAGCACGGACGAACCCCAGTCGAGATCAGCTGCTTTCCACAGCAAGTCGTGGCTCAGGCTTGGATGGTTTGAGAGGAGATTCGTTGCTCAGGTGCAGAAGTACGTTGTGGAGAATACGCCTGGGCCGCGGCAGAGGGCACTTGCCGCTTTCGTGCAGAAGCTCACCGAGCATAGGGTTCCCACTTCGCGATTTTCGGCCGACATACTGGCCTATCCATTGAGGGGTCATCTAGCTGGTGCAGTTGCCAGCCTGACACCGGAGCTGGCTACCTCCATAAGTCCAAATCTGCGCACTGGTTCACCTGATGCCTCACCTGCTTGCATGCAAGCCCCATTCCCGTGGTAGTTTGCCCAGAGATCCCAGAATCTGCCGATTTCCCGCCTCACTTGCCTGCTTATTGACATCGCATTCCGGTATGCTGGCCCTCCTGACAACAAGTGCAAATTGTGTCCTGGCAGATTGTCCTCGCTGCTGTTGATTGTTACCTTCTGTCAACGGCCATATTGGCGAACGTGTCGTGGCTTTGTAACCTGGAAATCCGTCTATTTACAGTTCGGGGGAATCGACCCCCTTGGCCCTTCAAGTTTGGCACCATCTGTCAATGCCAGGCCTGTCATATTGACAGGGGCGCTTCCGAAATCATGGGTGTCAGTCTTAGTTTTCGAGGTGTGCAAATGTTTTCAGTATCCGTCTTTGCACTTCAGCTTCCATCCAAATGTTTACTCTGCGTGCCATGTACAGGAGACTGCCCTGTCATGGACACCGGAACGGCTCCTAGAAATGGCATCCTGGCCGCTCAGGGGCTTTGAGAGACGTGGGAGAATATTGGCTTAGAGACCGTCAGGACTTCGCCGGAGTGGGGATTCGGGCAGGCAGTCGCGCAAGAATTGGAAGTATTGCTTTGAGGGACGAGGTGGAGGGACCCTTCGCCTAGAGCCCTCTGCCCATCGTGGAGAAACTCAGGCGCCGACGGATGCCGTGGTGAAAGTGGCGCCTTTGCCCGCCGATGGACGGGACAAATGGGTCCGGAACTCAGATGCAAGGTCTGGTTTTCAGGGTGTTGATGCAGCTCTGCCGGTGCGGGCTTCATTGCGGCCAATATTCCTTCGACAATCTTGTTGCACTTGTTGGGAGCGTCCTGGGTTGACGAGAGCTTCGTCCGACTTCTCCGCATCTTCTGTGTCATGTCTGACTCGCACTGTTTTGTCACGGCGGCTTCTGATCGGCCTACAACCCAAGGGCTGTGTTCCTGACAAAACCGGCAACCGACGGATCACCAAAAGGCTACGACGGAGAGACTTCTTTTTGAGTGGTATGAAAGCCTGGGCTGGCCGGCGCCGGGGGGGGGCGCTTCTGCATCCCGTCCGGCGCTCCCCATCCCCACTCCGCGCCGGCAGCCTCAGACCGCCAGGTTCCTTAGCTCATCGGCGGAGGTCGCCGGCCGGCTTCGGCAGCGTGCGCGGGTGTACGTATTCTGGTCCACTATCGCCGTGGCCATGCTGAGGTCGCCGCGCACACCGCTCCGTTTTTGTGATTCTCACGCTTTAGTCGGGTCGACTATTCAGCGGGCGCTATGCAATCGTACCACCCGGTGGGTACGATATGGTACGATAGTGGCTTGACGGCATGCCGGACAGTTACACTGCCGGCTATTGCGGCCTGGTGTAAAGAGCCATGTACCACGTCCTACTGACTTCTGATATATCAGTTGCACTAATGAGGACTGCAAGAAGGCTCGTCATCCTGTACATGCAGGACCGAACGTGCGGCTCCTATTTGGAGCTTCGTTTGAAAGTGCCCGAAAAACTCGTCACTCGGCTCCTCCTCAAGGGGCCGCCACTCCCAAGGTTCTGTACAGCCCAGGTGCTAGATTACTGAGTGTAAAAAAATAGGCTTGAGGGTGGATGTCAATCCCGTCAGTGAAACAGGGCACCTGTAGCCTGGCAGAGAGTGGTGTTGTGTGCTCAAAATTGCTCACATCACCACCTCGGTTCCCGCTGACTTGATGGTACGGCCATTCGTTGCAGGCAATGCAGGTGCAGCCAATACACAGTTGTGTCAATCTGAACAAACTTCAGAGCTGGTGCAGAGGCAGTAAGTGGGTTTGGAGGTCGCTTGGATGAGCCATGTCAGCTGTAGCAACACAAAAAGTAACACCTGTACACTGAGAATTTCTGGGGGCCGTGTGAGTGCCATGACACGGCGGGTGTCTTGCTCGTAAGCCCAGTCCTCAACAAGCTTTTGCAGGCTATGGCCTGCTTGGCAGCACAAGTAGCGGCACCGAGGAAACCGACCCTGCCATGGTTCGGGCTTGCCGCTGGCCTCTAAGACCAGGTATATCTAACTGATGCATTACATGAGCAAGGAGCTCCACAACGTCATGTTGCCCAGTCCTTGCATCTATGTAGCTGCACTGCCCCAGTAGGGCTGAGCAGCGCCTCAGCAGATGATGCATGGACCCAGAGTCTGCACTTTGCGTCGAGGCTCGAGCGGTGTATATCCACATGAACGCCTGAGTAAGCGAGTTGAGATAACACAGGCTGTTAGGGTTAGCCAATGCAAGACGGGCCGGGGGGAGTAATTCGCATTGGGAGGCGCGGGTTTGGTGCTCCGCCACCCGTGTTGGCAAGGCTCCCGGCACTTCTTGCGACTGATTAGCTGCTGTAGCCCCGCGCTTGCCAACCAGCGTGTGAGTGTCCCCGTTTCCTGCGCTGTTGGCAGCTCCCTTGTAGACAGACTAGGCTGCTTCCCCGTCAGGGGGCCCGGCGTTCGGTCTCCCCGTTTTGCGATCATTGCGATGCCGAACCGCCTGTAGTACCCCTGGTGGGAGGGAAGCAGCTGGAGGGTCTCGCGGATGAGCTTCCCGCCCATTGCGTGGAATGCATGGATGATGCTCTGGCGTCCTCTTTGATCATGGTCGACTTCAGTGCCTGTGTCCTGAAGCACCCTCTTCTGCGGCAGCGCCTCTGCGGGTGGGTTCGTGATTCTTCTTCTCCGGGCACCTGCGCATTCTCCAGCCGAGGGGGAATCAGAAGCTTCGCTGCCGTTTTCTGTTGATGCTCCAGGTCCTTTTCCAACTTGAGGAGGCGGGCCACCCATCAGGGCCTGGCGGAGTCCACAGTTGCACGTGCCCTGGGTTCGGCTTTTACGCCATGCATTGGTCGTCTGCAGCAGGGCTGCAACTCTGGCCAAGTTTCGCAACTGCGTTTGTTGCTGGCGTGCTGGCACTTATGGCGTGGGGCTTCACCGCCAGGTGCTGTTAAAGATAAATGCGTCTACGGCGGCAGAGGCTCACGAGAGCATGCCGCCCGTGATCCCATCGTGATCCCATGCACCAACGCCAGCGACGAACCTCGTAAAAGAAGGCGACGGTGAAGTAGATGCGCCGAGGCGCCTACAAGCTCCTTTTAATTTTGCGGCGGTGGTGGACGGTGGGAGTGCTTCTCCAAATCGATGGTGCCACGACACCGAAAGACGACCGGGCGCAGCGCATGCCCCGACAGTTGGTGTGGCTGTTGGTGCAGAATGGTGCAGACATGGCCGCCGCGTGCTCCATCTCCTTGAGCCGAGTGCGCCGCCGAGTGGATCATGGCATCCGAGCGGAGGCGCTCATGATCCGTAAGGCCACGAGGGAGCGCCGGGAAGTTCTCGCCAGTCGGGTCGGTGTCGGGCTCCCGTGCAAAATTGGCAGCCATCTGGAGATGCGTTCCTGCATGGCCGCCAACTCCTCCGGGGTTAGCCGGCCCAGCATGGCCCAGCCGCCATGATGTCATCGATGCGCCGAGGCAGCGACGCCGGGGACTTGGCATAGTATTCCCTCGCCGTGGTTCTCTTAGGACCCGGTGGTGGCCTGTCGGGCTCGTACCCCGCCGCCGAGGCCGCCGCCGATTGTGTCGTCTCGGTTCCCACCAGCGGCTGGGAACGGCGTCGCCTCTCCTCCTCTTGCCTCCTCCCTCGCTTCCGCTAGATAGCGACGATGAAGCACCGTCCAGCGCCGAAACAAGGGCGCAAGGTATCGCCGCGAAGAAGCTCCATCGCGGCGACGATATCGGTGGGACCGGCAGGAGGCTTAGAGAGAAGCTTCGTCGGGCAGCCCGAGGAATGCTGCGGCGTATGCGTCTTGCGCCAGTTGTGTCCCTGCACACAATTCTTGTGTCACACGACGAGCAGGTGGAAAGCGCCGACCTTTGGCCAGATTCCAACGAAGCAGAGCCACTGCCAGGTCCAAAACTGCTTTGTCATGTCGAGTATAGGATGCCTTATGCGAGGTTGCTGGCTTTGTCTGCCCAAACGCGCCTGCAGGAGTGGTGCGCTCTGATGTTGTGCTGGCCGTTGCAGCCTCGCGCATTGAGGCGCCCCAGCCCAATGTTCAGCACAAAAGCGTGCTCTCGGGAACTGGAGCTTCACTCACAAAGCAAAGCCCGGAAGCCGCAAGCCTTCACGTAACAGCAATTGTATGTGCATGTGACTTCATGTACACGGGTATGATCACGGCACACTTCTTCTCTCCGCCGGCCTGCCGACTTCATTGCCGACTGCATTGTCTTATCCTCCGTTTTGGCAGTGCATTCTGTAGGTGGTTATGGTAGGTCATAAGACACACAGTCATATTCTGCCTATCCTGACTGTTAGCATCATCTCCACGATCCTCGGTCCTGAAAAGTGCCATGGACCGAGGTACCCATGTCTGACTTCGTTGCGTCGCTTAGGGGTCATCAAGCCATGCCCGGAGCTCCGGGAGGTGTCGGAAAGCGAGGCTTTCGGGTCTTTGTTTCAATGGCGTGGGAGTTTTAGGCCTCAGGGTTCAATGAGTCCATTGCATCATGGGCAGGCTACTAGTAGCATCCCGTGGCCAAGGAACGTCGTAGGCGTGTCTTCATCTCTTCTCTGTTCCACGCCCACACGAGGCCGGCCTGCTATGCGGACGGGGCCGGCAACATGCAGCATTCCTTCTCGTTCCTGCAGTGCCTGAGCCCAGCTGCTGACATGGGCGCCGCGGAAGCTCAAGTTTCGGCCTGTCGGCAGCAAGGTCTCAGCTGGAAGGCTTCCCGCCTCTTGGTGAGTGCAGGACTCAGAGGGTCGGAAAACTCAGGGGCTTGAGACCTGTAGCCTGTAGCACTTGCGCTGGTAGTGGGGTAGATTTTGATGGTGCTTTGAGTCAGGTCGCTGATCCTAGGAATCTCAGGCGCAATCACGCAGAAGTAATCTTTTGCTCCAGGGAGCACCAGTGACATGCCGATCCTAGAAAGTCGGGACGGCCTCGATTACTCAAAGTGCAAGAGGTCACTGATCTTCAACCGCACCGACATGTGGCTTGGTGGAAAAACTTTGTCGCCCCTGCCTTACAGCGATCCGCGGGTCTACTGCAGTCATTTGCTGAGGCAAGAGTCCCATGGCGATCATGTGCAGAATCTGGAAACTGTGACACTTTGCCAGGACATTGCATTTCGACAACTACGAGAACCTCTTTGTGCAGCTGGTAGGCGAGAAGGCCGTGGCAAGGCAGTTCCGCTCGTGGCCGGCAGATGTTGGGAGTTACGTTGGAGGAGTTCGTCCTGTGCCCACCTGGAGATACAGACCTTCTGGTGCACGGTCGCCTACGGAAGGCTTACGCCGGGCTCTCAGCCGCCGAGGTCTTGAACTGGGAACTGCAGGGTTAGCTGGTAACTCTGTCCGGCGATACATGGGCTTTCATGGGACGGTGAAAATGCAGCACTGTCCTCGGCCTCGCCTCGCAAAAAACCGAGATCAACCCGAGGCCACCTGGGAGCAAAGCAAAAGCTCGGCACTCTGACTCTGAGCAGATTCGGGCCCTGATTTGTTTGGAACCTTGCCTTTCGTGTATACTGAGAAATTAGCTTCCGGATCCGTTAGAAGGCGTCTTTTCCTTGGCCCATCGATGCTATGGCCCTAGTGTGGTGAGAGTGAAAGAAGGCGGCCCTGCATCACGCAGTGTTCTTGATTCTCGTGCTCGCATGTCATTGATGACTGCTCGGGTTCAGCGTCGGCCGCCTTACAAGTAGCTTGTGGCACCAGAGATGCAAGGGCTTCGAGCCAAACCAGCCTACGACGTCCAAGCATATCTCGAAGAGCAGTCCGCTGCAAAGACGCTAGTACAAAGAAACCACACGGCCCAAAACTCAGGTGGGGAGGGGACCCCTGGCACCTTCAAGCGGACGGTCCGGTGCCCAGAATTGAAGCACGCCGGAAAGCATAAGCAAAGCTGGGCCAAGATTTTCTTAAGCGGAATCTGGTTGCCTGTTTTTCATTCCAAGCACTGAAGCGCCTTGCCGAGTCCAGTGGCCTTTCGAGCGAAGCGGCGTGCGGCTGAGTTAGACCTCTCAAGAAAGGCTGACAACGTGAGTTGGTGGGCCTAAATCCACCTCAGCTGCAAGACACTGCAAATTTGGGAACTGTGACACATCAGTAAGATGGGAGCGAGAACCTCTTTGGGACGATTGTGCTGCTCCGATGCTGTTGCTGCAGAGCGCCTATAGCAGGTCATGAACTATGCCGCCTATGATCTCGACAACCCTCCTTCCGAGTGCCCTTCAGCAACTGTACGCCCGAGAGGAGAATTTGCGCAAGTGTGTCATTCATGGGCGTCCAGCTGCGGAGACATGTTTGCAGTTTGCAGTCCTGCAGTCAGGCTTCAGGATTCTGTTGCCAGATGCAAACTTTAGGTACGCCGAGCAAGCTGCAAAGTTGAGACGTACAGCCGGAAACTCATCACGGAGCTTTCTGCGACGACTGAAGAACATGCCTGTGTGTGCAATCAGCAAGTGCCCATTCGCGAGTTGAATCCTGAACCAAGGTTGTAACTGTTCGCCCAGGAGAAGTCCTGTATCTGCCATTCGCGTGGTGGCACCAGGCCCTGCGAGACAGGCAGAGTCAACTCGCAGGTCAAGGGTGAGCTTTGCCAGGCTAAGGCTACTCCACAGGCTGAAAACCCTAGCTGTCAAGAAGCTCTTTTCAGCTGGGCAGGTCCAGGCTTCTCCGGCCCGCTGTGGCCTCTGCGCCTCTGTTGCTGCTTTCTTTGCGCCAGAGGGCTCGGAAAACGGTGAAGCACGCGTGCAAAGGGGCATTGCGCTTGGAAGCAGCGGCCGTGGATGCAGCAGCCGATGGTGGTGGTGGTGGTGGTGTTGGTAGGAGAGTAGGAGAGCAGGAGAGGTGGTAGTAGTAGTAGTAGTAGTAGTAGTAGTAGTAGTAGTCGTCGTCGTAGTAGTAGTAGTAGTAGTAGTAGCAGTACTACCACGAATACTGTTATGTTTGATGAGTACTACTTACTACTTACCACTGCTGCTACGACGACCTCAATCAATTTTCCGCGACACTACCGCCATGACCATATTGTATTACTCTGACTAGCTCTTTCCGTCACGGGCGCCATCGTCATCCGCATCACCATTACTGCAGTCATCGGCAGTTCGTCATCCTGATCCTTCCCTTTGTTAAAACCGCTTGCAAGTTCATCATCATTGTCACGATCATGAAGTCCTGTGACAGCCCGCGCGTTGGTCCGCTTGTTTCGCTTGATTCCATAGCATACCTCGGCTGCGCTTGCAATCTAGCGTGTTTTCCTAGCGCTTGGAAGTTGCAGAATTTTGAGGCCTTTCTTTGTGCGGCTGCAACCGCGATCCCTCAGCACGACGGGTCCGCTGCTGCCCGCATCCCGACAGAGACCACCACTCATGTTTGTTCACGGTCGGCCGCTGGTGCCAGTGCAAGACAGTCCTGCATGTCAGATAAAACAACAAACCCTCCAGATCATCTCGGTCGCACTGTTTGTGATGTTAAGTCCTGATTTTCGTGATGGCTCGCAGCGAAGCTTTCGCCATTCCATTCCCCTCATGTGTTTTCGCCATTCCATTCCTCATGTGTTTCGGACGGTTCTGGTAGCCTGCGAGTAGTCGGCATGCGATACCCAGGGCTTACAAAGCTGCGAAGAAGCCAGTTACCCAAGATGCCCACTCCTTGATGCCGCGCATGTGCGATGCGGGCTGTGTGCAGGCTCGTTTGTCAAGCGAGCTGCCTGCAATGCCATGTATGATCCCGAAGTGAAGATCTGCAAGACTGGTTGGTCGGGGAAGCCCCAATCAATCTGTGGGAACGCAGGACTTTGGCGGTGTTTCTGCTGTCCTTCGACACCTTGTGTGCAGCCGATTTGCTGCTCGGAAGCAGCTAGTGTTGCGACACGGTGCCACATCTAGCTGCTGAGGCGTGATGCTCTACGGAAGGCCGATGACTTACTCTCCATCTCCGAGGTCCTCAACCGAGCTTTCAAGAACGAGTGCCCTGGACGCGGTCGCTTGCTAGGCGTTGCACGCGTGACGTGCAGATGTAGGTACAACGTCGAGGCTGCTGCTGTTTCAGTGGCAGATGGGCGCCTTTGTGTTGAAACGACTCCAGCTGCTGTGCTTTCTCGGCAGTTCCTGGAGGATTCGTGGAAGCTCGGACAAGTCAAGAGTGGGGTGTTTGGGATCCTATGTCCAAGCAGATGTTGAGTTCCTCAAGCCTTTCTCCAGGCCAATCTCCAGGTCCAGCCCCAAGATAATTTAATTTCAGTTCCTGCCGAAAGCTAAGTCTGAGCTTGTCCGACTGGCTTATGGTTTGTCCGGCAACTCCACCAAGGACTACGACAGAATCTATCAGTGGAGACATTGAGGCAGTCTTCAACGCAAACAGCGACTGCTTCATGAAGTACGCGGGCATCTGTGAGGCATATGCAACCTGCACAGGCCTTACATGTTGGCTTCACAAGGAGCTCGAGCATCTTGAGCTGAGCCGAGCGAAGTCGCATGTTCGTGACTCCTTGAGGTGTGGACCCCTCTTCTGTGTTCGATCCCGCGCTTGTACCACGCCAAGGCCAGATCGAGTGAAGCCTGTGGGCTCTGCATTGGCCTATGGGTTGGGTTCTGGCATGTTTCGGTGCTGCTTTCGGGGACCTCGCCGAGCTTTGCATCAACAACAAAATCGTGATCGACCATGGGTGTTTAGGAGCCCTTCAAGCTGTCGGGCAGTTTTACTCTTGTGAAATGCTCATGTCTGGTGCAGCATGAGCAAGGCCTCTACTGGGCAGCCAACCAGAGCAAGGTGGGGCTTGCTCTGTTTTTCTCTCTGCTCTTGGAGAGCCCGGCCCTTCCGAATTGCCCTTGTTTAGGAACTCGTTGCTGGAAGTCATGTACCGGGGTTTCAGCTCAGATCTTGCCATGTGCCTTTTTGCCTTTCTTGGTGGCTTCTTTCAGGCGCTTCAACCCGCTCTGTGAAGGAGTCCATATTCCACGGCTTTGGTTCATGAGCCTTTCCCACTCTACTTCCAACAAGTTTGAGTCTTTGCATCTTGTGATAGCCCTTTGCAAGCGCGATGGTTTTCCATCTTGACAAAATGTCTCTCGATGTTGATCACCTCGGCTTGGTAAGAGCTTGCACGTGTGTGATTTCGCACACAGTAAGACAGCGAACCGTCAGGCTCGGAAGCTGCATAGCTCCAAACGGTAGGCATCTCAGCCAGGTTCTGGCATGGCAGGATGAGCAGCTTGCGCTGCTGGATGATCTGCTCATGATGGCACATCAGCTTGAATTTGTCACAGAATGTCACAGAATTACCGAGATGCTCTGGAAACCTGCCATACTCGTTTCTGTGTTGAGTGATATTTGGATTCACGGTCGACGGCAGAGGCTGCTTTTTTTGTTTTCTTTTCGTCGGTTTTGAGCAAGGCCAGGGGGCGAGTGGGGTTGTGGTGTGCTGTGGTCCCCAAGCTTGTGCCTTGGTGTTTGGAAATGTCGGTTCGGAATGGAGAGCTGGCCTGTGCAGAAGCTTCCAGGCATTCAGTATCGTAAATAGCTGGCACGTTGGGACCGTTTTGGAGAGTGTTTTCAGCATTGTTGGTCAAAGCTGCTGAGGCAGACGACTCCTCGGATCTTGCCCAGAAGCTGCGGGATGACATCGAGGCATCCGCGCGCCATCGGCTCAGCGCTTGTGGACGTGACTGCCCCAGGTCCACTTCAGGCGATAGTTGTCTGATGCCTTGCCTTAGGTGCCACAGTTACACATCTAAGTTCGTGTGCCTCTTGAGGTTGGTCACTTCTGAACTCTCATGTGTGACCGTGTGACCTCGGTGTCTCGACGCAGCATTGGGGCTTTAGCTTGAAGGGAGCTTTCGCTCACCGGTTGCAAGCTTCCCGCGGAGCGCAACTGGCAAAAGCTAGACCAGCTAGACGTCGGTGGAGATTGCTGATCGCACCGGAATCTCCTGGCGGACTTGTGACACAGCAAGTGTTTTCCATTCTACGCGTTGTTTTTCGATTGCCAAGAGATTCAACTTCTGCGACAGGGCCCGCGAAGACTGGTGTTGGGGACCTGTCGGAGTTTAAAACTCTTTAACCCCGTCTTCGGGATTTGCCCTTCGAAGGACTGGACCTCAGAAATCCGAACACAGAACGGCTCCGATCAGAAGTGGAAGCCCCTGCCTGCGCAGCCTTCGAGAAGTGTTCAGGCGCATGCCGCGGCGAGGTACCGGCCGTGAAGAACCGAGGACGTGCTCTCTTCTTGCTTCGGCTTTTATTGCTTCCTGGGGCCGCAGGAAAGCCCGCGATCGAGTGGGTACTTGAGATGTTCTGTAAACAGTGAAGCGACAGCGTAGGAATTTGTAATTTGTCGGGATTTCCCGTTTGCGTGGGCCTGCAAGGCTTGATTTAATCTTGGGAAGGGAGTGCCTACAGCGATGGAGCTTCCACTTGTCTGCATGATTGACGTTTGACGTGCCTAAGAGAAGTGATTTGGCACCGGCAGGATTGAGGCAGATATTGGACGTGACACCACAAGTCTGGTGATTCGTCGGCTGCCACAGCACATCACGACAGAGAGGCCACTCAGAGTTGGCAGGTGTAATCCCGAGCGCCCGGCAGATGTGTGTTTCTCCCGAGGTTGGTAGAGGTTCTCCGTGAGTCGTCAAAGGGACGATTTGACTTCGTGCACATCCCACACGACCAGCAGACAGGGCGTCCTGGCTGCAAGGCAGCCCAGTTGTATCGACAGGGCCCCCGACACGTTTTGCCGCCAGTGTCTGATTCCGAATCGTGGAGTAGAGTTGCCAAAGGGTTTTAGTTGCATGCTTCTCCGTTCTAATTAATGCACGAAGCTTGAAAAGGCTGAATGTTGCATTGGCCTTCGTCAACTTTGTCGATCATGATGCGGCAGAGATGCTTCGCTGAGTTGGACAAATCAGGGCTTGCGAGCGAGAGAGCAGCTCTGAGTCTCTGAGTCTGAACCAAAGGAAAGCATACCGGACTCGGCTGATGCGGCCAACCGGTGGTCGAAATCCACTCGGGCCAATACGCATCAGACCAGGCACCATCCAGGCGTGCCGAACTGCTGTGAAAACTGATTGCAAGTTTGCGTGACCTGTCGGAAAGCCGTGCTGACAGCGTTGCTGTGCCAGGGTTTGGGTCCAAACCTGGCATACTTCATCACTCGTTTTGGGCTGGATGCCCTTGAGGGAGACCCGTCAGCATTATCAAGATGCAGACCCTTTGCTAGTCTGACACAGCCCTCGGGTGTTGCTACATTAGAACGATGCAATTTTAATCCTCCTCGTGTTTGCATAAAATTGAGTCTCGTGTTGGTACAAGTTGTAAATTCGTGCAGCACTCTGCAGACCACGCACAGTCTTGTTTGCCAAAGGTGGCTGTTTGCTAAAATTGTAACAGCTGTTGCTACTCCTACGAATAGCTACGACTACGTGTGCTACCACAACGTCGGCTACTGCGGCTACTGCACATACGATTACGGCCACTACTACTACTACTACCACTACTACTACTACTACTACTACTACTATTACTACTGCTGCTACTACTACTACTACTACTACTGCTACTGCTAGCACTACTACTACTACTACTACTACTACTACT